GTCATCGGGCACGGTCTCCGTGGAGGCTAGGCGCGCCTGCCCTCGCTGGTGTCCTGCATCTCCGGGAGCGGAAGGTTCCCAAATTCGGTCGCCGGCAGCTTCCGAGACCTCGATGCTGTCTGCGGGGGGATGCTTCCTGATCTCAGACGGTGGGGCAATGGAGTCGACGTCCGTCTCCGAGAGGGGCAGACCGGGCCCCTCCCGGGACTGAGGAGGGGCCATCACGCGAGCCTCAGGAACGGACCTCGAAAGACCCGGCGGGGCCCCGGGACCACCCCGCGCTTCGGGCGGTGGCGGGCCCTCGGAAGCGACGTCCCACTGCCCCTGTCTTACGTCCCGGGGAGCGAACGCCCTCCCTCAGCTGGTCAAAACGAGACGAATCCAGCAGCTCGGCGCCGAGAGCTTCTTGCCTGGTACCGCTCCTATCTGGTCCCCGGAGAATTTGTAGAGCTTAGATCGCGCGGCAACCCATCTCCCCCCCCCCCCCCCGCTGGCGCACTGCGACCCCTGGGCCGGTCCAGCGGTCACGCTGCAGAGAGTCAGACCTGTTCGCTGTCGTGACTCGGCGCCAAACGTAGACCCACTCTCCTGGCTTAACATGACGGTCCGAATGCATTCTGGCCCTGCTGGCCTCGGACAGTCGAGACTTGGCATCCACGCTGGCCGCGGCTGCCCTGGCTGCCTCCCGGTCGCGGTGCCTCCGAGCGAACCCCTCGCGGCGGAGCCCTGTCCGATCTCGCCCAAGACATCCTCGGATCCAACTTCGCCCAGGGGATCTTCGGACAACAGGGCCCTGGGAAGTCGTGGGTTGTGACCTAATTAACACTGGCTGGGCTGGACTGACCCCCCCCCCCCCCGGCGGTGCATTCGATTCTTGGCCGCCACCACCTCGCAAAGCAAGACCTCCACCTCCTCCTTGGTGGCGGGGCTGGCCGAGAGAGAAGCCTTGGAGAGCGCATCCTTACGAATGCCACCATGTCGCGGTGAGTTCGCAGGCACTACCCGATGACAAATCACTTCGGCGCCCAGAGCTGGAGGAAAGCTCGCCAAGTGGCGATCGCGGTGCCCGCTGAAATCAGACAGGCCTGCTGAAAGTTGGCGCCGTGATCTAGAACGTTAAGGACTGGTGCGATAAGCCCTTCAACTTCGAGATGCAGAAGGTCCACCGCTATTGGTTCGTTGAACTCGCAGGTCCTGGGAAGACGGGCATGGCGCCTCCAGTGGGGGCGGGGGTTTGAGGCACGTGCCCCGCAGACAGCAGACAAACTCCCGCTTGGTCCAGTCGATGACCTCAGGCCTGGCCTTGGCCACCCGCAGAGTCCGGATAACATCTCCCAAGGGGGGGCGTCCCAGGTTCACATGCAGGCGGCGAACTTCTCTCTGCAGCGCAGGCTCTAACCCCTGAGGAGGCTTCTCAGAAGCTGGAGTGCCGACTGGACCAGGAAGGGGCCCCGGGAACCCCTCGGGCGCGACTTCCTCGCCCAGACTTCCCAGTCCGGACCCCTCGGGAATCGACCCCGGGATCGGACCCCTGGAGCTCGCGCGGCTTGACACCGGAAACGGATATTCTTCCCCCCCTTCCTCCGACCCCTCTTCCTTACTACAGAAAACAGTCGCACAGTCACTGCCGAAGTGATGCTGCCAGGCGGCGTGCTCTATCCCGGTGGCCATGGCCGAGACGAGCTCGTCGGGGCACTGCTCAGACTGGCTAGTCCCGCGCCCCCCCGAGCGCTGAAGATGCCCATGCTCTCTGGAACACGCCCGAATGCATTCGTGGAGAAATGCCCTAGTATTACTGACCAGTCGCGTTCGCTTCCTGGAAAAGGCCCTGGGAACCAGAGACAGCCCAAACTCGCGCTGGTCGGTGACGGCCGACTCGACTCCCGGGGCCCCCATCAGGTCCCGGACCTCCTGGGGCTCCTAGGAGCTCGTCCCGATAGGATGCTCAAGAGCAAAGTCCCGCCCGCTCTCCATCTGGTGTCGTGCCACCTGCGCGCGCATGTGCATGTGCTCCAATCCCCTCTGATCAACCTCAACGAGAGCCTCCGGGCTCATCCTTTCCCGGGACGGGGCCCTCGCCTGACCGACAGCCTTGCGCTCGGGGGACATGATGAGAAATAGAGGCTCGTCACGTCCCGAGACGTCCCACATCTGGCTCCGGCCCATCGGAGACCTAAGATCCACGCCCGCGAGGTCGAACGCGTAGGAGACGCGGCGGCCGCGGCGGGCCAGCTCCTCAGATATCTTCGGGGGGCAGAACAGCATTGGCACCATGGGGCCCCTCCGGGCCGCCTCGGCCGAGGTGATCTGGCGACGTCTAAGCTCTCTCCTGGATCTGAGCCCATGACCGCTTCAGAGCCAGGCGGTCGCCTCCCTGACCTCCTCGGGAACGGCGACCCCCCGCCAGCCCCTGGGGCCGGCGCCGTCTGAGGCGGCAGCCGCGAAGCGGTCCTCTATGATGTAGTAGCACTCGCTGCGTACCCTGGATGCCAGTGGCCTCGCACTTCTCGCGCTGCCCTGCCCCTGACCCCCCCCCCCCGAGGCGCCGCCGCTGACGTGCCCGCGTGGAGAGGGGGAGAGACTGGAGGAAAGGGGCTGCTGTGAGGGCTCGCTGGGACTGGGGGCACCCTGCCAAACTCGAATCCTAGGAGAAGAAACCTGGGCGGCTCCACTCGTGGAATCCTTCGTTCCGAGCCCTCTTTCTCCGGGCGCATCCTGAGTCGCTGCGCCCCGTCGAGCTTGCGCAGGCGCGACTCTGCACTCTGGGGGGGTGGCGCCGAGCCAAGGCGCGCTCATGAGAACCACCCCCTTTGGCGATTCACATTCTATCCAGCGAACCCGCTCAGGAAAGAGGGGGGGGGGGGATTGATCACCGCGAGACTCCATGGCCAATGCCGCGACGAGAGAGGAACACTCCTGCGTGGTTTAATCCCACTTACACCACCCAAGTCGAAACTCAAGCTCCTCAGATTTCACGCGATGACCGTTCTTCTGGTCCCAGACTCCCAGGACAGGATCGCGATTCGAGAGGGCCGCTCGAGGCCTCAGGGGGGCGTCCTCGGGCCCATTGCCACTCAGAAAGCACCTCCATGACTTTCGACTCCCCGCTCAGCCGGAGACTGGCCCCTCGTCCTGTCCCGGCGACGGGCCCGCCGAACGCGACGAGGCACTCTCGCCGCTGCGGATCGCCTGGGCCATGGTGTTCGCCAGGCGCTCCAGGCCCTCCTCGCTCAGGGCGGGGTGCTTGGCGATCGTGCTGATCATGTTCAAGTCGAAGTTGCGCTCGTTCATCCAGGCCTGCTGCCGCGCCGTGGACGTGACCTCGGAGAGCGCCTTCATCATCTCCTCCTGGGCCATGGGCCTCATGCCTGACGGGAGATTGGGCGGGGCCTTCTTGAGCGCCGCCGGTGGAGGCGACGGAGCGTAGCCCGAGATCCCTGCGCGCGGGCACGTGCCCGGAGCCGCCTTGAAGGGCGCGTGCCCCGAGCTCGCAGGCACGCGAGGGTTGAGAGGCACCGCGGGAGCTCCCGCCGTCGCCTTGACCAGCGCCCTGCCCTCGAATATCTCTTGCTCGATCCCGCCGCTCTTCCAGAACTGCCGGGCTGCGGGGTCGACGGCCTTGCCGCCTTGGGGGTGGGGGGGGGCGGTCTCGGCGCCCGTGGCCCCCCCAGAACCATGTCCGCCTCGTACTGCTGGACACGCAGCTCGACCATCTTCTCGACGTCCTTGCGCACATGGGCGGCCTTGGCCTTCGCGAGCTTAAGGCGTGGGCCGCGGTCTTCTCCCCGGGGGTCTTCTGCCGGTGCGCCAAGCGCGCTGCACCTGCGACAGTAGGTGCACGTGGCGCGGGCGTTCGCGCCAGACCACTGGGCCCGCGGCGGGTGGGGACATGAATCGATGTTCTCCTCGCCCCTCTGCGTCGCGCGCGGCGCCATCCCGGGCGCGCCCCTTATGGTCTCCGCCGCGAAGACGGCCCCCAACAACTTCAGCACCACGAATCTCCAGCGCATCCTCTGGGGCCCAGACGAAAGCAGCCCTCGTTGAACAGCGGCTGCTCGTGCTCGCCCGTCGCCTCCGAGTCCAGGGCCTCGTCCATCGAGCTGTGGCCGATGGGCCCCCACTCGCTGGCACTGCCTCCCGCCCCCGCGCCCTGAAGATCTTCCTGGTGGTCCTCCTTTAGCGAGGGCAGTCGGCGTCCGATGCTCGGACTGGCTGAGGAGGCTCGACCCTCCTTCTTGGGCATGATCACATTATACTCCCTGGCGGCCATGCGAACTGGACAGAAGGTTCGCGGGGGCAGGCAGCTCGGCTTGAGCCGGGCGGGCTGCGGACCGACTCGAATTGACCCCGCCGCCCCTCGCGCGGCTCGGATGGGACTGATCGCACTAGCCAGGCTGCCGCCGACCCCGCCCGCCCCTCGCTGCCCCGCCCCCCCGGGCCCCGACGAACTGGGAAGCGCTCGGCCGGGAACGCGTCGCGAACCTCATCGCTCGCCTGGAAGTCCTCGGGATCACAGCGCATCGGCCCGGTGCTCCAATGTCCTGACGGGTGACGAAACATGGGCCTGATGGTGCGACGACCGCGATCATCCACCTCTATCGCGTTGTTGCCGAGGTCGACCTCGGCACCAATCATTTGCAGAAATCGAACCGGAAGGAGCGGGGGGAAACGGTCGGCCAGCGCCGGGAACTCTACGAAACCGAAGCCTGCGAGATGGGCGCGGCCCCCCCTCCGATCCCGCTGGCCACCTGGTAGGCGACGCCCCCCGTCTTCACGAACGCCCGGGGGCCCTTCTCTGCCAGGCAGTGGCGCAGCTGATCCAGATCCCCTTTGCCTATCAGCGCCTGGCTGGCAGCGGCGTCGATCAGAGCGCGGCCCATCATATTCCCCAGGCTAAGACTCCGAGAAAGTCCGTGAGGATAGCGACTCGAGCCATTCCAGTGCGCCGCCGTAAAATTCCCCAGGGTCGGACCCGAACCCTCGAACTCGAGAACTTTTTTCCTCAAGCAAATGACTTGTATATCACTTGCACAACCTCAGCCGCCATGTGATTGAAAGACTCGCCAGGCAAACCAAAAACACCCCAAGAGCCGACCTGCGACAGGCAAACTCATGAAGTGAACCGTGGCCTGAAAGGGAGCCTGCTCACGCTACAAGAAAAGTATTTCCCCCTCCCCCTGCGCCGGCCGCAGGCCAGAGGATACGATCAGCGAAACTGGGTTGCTAGCTAAGTGGCCGCGGCAGGACGCCGGCCACGGAGGAGGAGGAGAAAGGAGGAGGAAAAGAGGGGCGGAAATTAGGGCAGTTGTTCGCGAACGTGCACGGCCGTGCAGCACGCTCCCGGGGACGCCAAACGTGACGACGACACATCAAGCCCCCGCAGGGTTGTCCTGCGATCGTGGCCGAAATTCGGGCTACGGACGCTGGGGACGGGCCTCACATCGAGGATAGGCCGGTACACCCAAAACTGAAGAAACGGCCTGCGAAGGCGGCAACACGCAACGAAAATGTCACGAATTACGGCCCGCAAATACGAAAGGAGGAGGAGGAGGAGGAGGAGGAGGAGGAGGAGGAGGAGGAACACTACGAGTGCCCGCCAAATCCGCCACGCTAAGCCGCGCACCCTGGCGACGGCACGCGAGGAGGGTCTCGCCCGGAAAGACCTGGGGAGGGGATAGCAACAGGTGCCCTAGCTATCATAACAAATCACAAGCCGCCCACGCGGCGCGAAACTCTAGGAGGAGGAGGATGCACAGACGAAAAACTACGCGAGGAGGACAGGAATAAGTTGCTACCCGCGTTGCCGGCGCTTGTGCACCGCAGACAATAAGGCGGCCGCAGGCCCATGACCCCGTGCACCTTCACGCAGAAAACCGCGGAAGAGCTCAGCACACCGCTCCCCATCGCTGCCGTGCCGCACCACGTTATGCGTGCTGTACAAAGCAAAGACACTGAGGGCCCGCAGAGCAGCGGCGGCTGGGCCGCCCTGCGGAGGTTCATCGGCGCGCAACTGTCTAGAGGAGGGGGAGATGAGGAGGAAATCGCTCAGAGCCGCTGCGGCCTCAGGACGTTCCAACGCAGATGCTGCCAACCCTCGAACTCGAGAAAATGAAATGCGCCGCCGTCGTTCTCGTTCGTCGTATCTTCATCCCCGAAGAAGTAAGAAACAGGAGGCCGGTGTCGTCTTCTTTTCTGAAGCCAGCCCATATTCCCGGGAACGGTGCTGTCTTCTGCAATTCTCGGCCCAATTTCCCTTATCCTCACAATTCGTACATCTCGATCGGCGTATCAGGTCCCCAGAAGTGATTCGTTTGGACCCTGACCAGTTAGCTCGCCTTTTGTCGAAGAAGTCCCGTTCAATACGAGAATTCTGCTTTCATCTTCCGTGCCTCCGCCCGTGTGCGTCTCTTGTCCTTCCCTCGTTCCCCAGCAACTCCTGCTCCTCTAACGCGGACAAGAATGCCTCGGCTCCTTCTTCCGGCAGCTCGAACGCGTCATCAGGGGGCTCGGCGAAGCGCGAACTCACGTCGACAGGACCGGCAGAGGCGGAAGACGAGCCCTCGAAGACTTCTTCCGTCACGAAAGTCTCGACGCTCATCGCCTGAGAAGTCGACAACACCCCTTTCTCCCGAATGTCCAACTTCAGAAGTGTTTCCCGGATCGATCTGTGGTCTAGCTTACCCCCAGCCAGTGTGCACATATCAATTCTGTTCTGGGGACTCAAGTTAGCCCCCTCCTCAAGCAGTCTCGCAAGCACGGAGTCCGCAAGCTGTAGTCCGTAGACCTCGGCAAGGCCTATCTTGGCGTCCCGCCTGAGAACGTAGTCCGTGATAGATTCTCCACGACGCAGCGCGTTGTCGAAGAGAGAGGCCCCCTCGGCTTCTCTCTCCTTGTCCCCTGGTCTCTCGCCGCTGAGGATCCCGAAATGCTCGACGAATCGCTGGAAGCCGTCATCCTGGTCTAGCTGCCTCCTGAAAGCTGTAAACTTGAGCTGAATATCCACTGGCATCGTCTCGGGTATCTTGTCGGCTCTCTGTTCGGGTTTGTAGCCGGTGCGAGCAGCCCAGGAGTGAACATTTGGTCGATACAACTCTACACTCTCGAAACCCAGCCACTGTGGTGGAGGCCCGTAGTCCCTGTTCTGGGGGGACGAGGTGGACTGTCTGCGCCAGCCGCCCGAGTGATCCCATCCCCACTGACTCCAGTCGTTCGCAGTCCAGTCGCCCCATCTCTCGTGAGCCCACCAATATCATGCCATTCTGTCGTCGCTGCTGTCTGTGTCTGCTGCTCTCTGTGTGCCTGTTCTGCTGCTCCTCGCTCTCGTGGCTCCCCCTCCTCTCCACCACCGACAGCTCCGCTTACCACTGTCTCTGAATCGGACGGCATAAGAGAGAATCGTGCAGAAAGAGAAAGGGGGATGTTTCGGTGCATCGGAGACGAGCGAACGTGCTCACGTCTACGGCTGCAGGAACAATGGGAGGAACGAGCGGGGCCGAAGGAGAAAGGGGGGGGAAAATCCGAAGGACCACCTAGGACCGATGGGGGACATATCTCCTCGGGAGTCGTCTTCACGTACCAAACCTCGCTGCTTCACTCCGTGCAAATACTGGCCGAATCCGTGCCAGAAACCTCGCAACCTATTCTGGACCATGAAGCCATCACTATACGCTTTCAGCTCTTGTCGGTTTCCGTAGTCACATCGAGCCAGGTACAGCCCTGCGCGCTCCGCGCTACCATCCGAGTGCCCAAAACGGGCGGCAGCGAGAGAAAACTCCAAGGATTAGATGCGGTATCCTTTTGTTCTCGAGCGTGCGAGGGGTTATGACCAGCATACATGTTGTGTTGCCCATGCTTGCCATGCGAGCGCGATGATGTTTCGCACGATAACAACGAAAACCCATGATCGACCCCCCCCCCCCCTTATCCGGAACGCCAAAAACCAGATCGGACAAGAGCGGGAAACGCCGATTTTGTGGGGGGATATCTCAAACGAAGAATTTGATTTGAACAACAAAAGAAAAGATGTTACGAACATATCATTGTTGTGAAGATGCCTCACGCGAAATGCTCATTTCGAGAAATCCGCTAAACCGGTTGGTTCCCCGTGCGCACCCGAACCCCTTGATTCGCAGCGCGCGCGCATCGTCGATAACTTTTTACACTTAGAATTTCAATCACAACGTCCATCTCGCTTCTCGTACCTCGAAGACGTTTCCCGTCAACCCCCGTTCAGCGTGCCACCCCATGTTTCGCGGCGCGCGCGCGGATCTTCGATAACTTCTTGCATATACGATTTCAACCACAACGTCCAACACGCTTCTCGTACCTCGAAGATGCTTCCCGCTATCCGCCAACGAAAACCCCGTGCGATCCGCCATGCCATGTTTCACGGCGCGCATGCGGATCTTCGATAACTTCTTACAGGTACAATTTCAACCACAACGTCCAGCTCGCTTCTCGTACCTCGAAGACGCTTCCCGTCATCCACCAGCGATCCACGCCAGAGGCGCTTCCCGTGATCCGCCACCGCGTGGTGCGCCCCGCAGCCCTTAGTACCCTCCTCCTGCTCGCCGCCGTCCCTCGTTCGCTGCCGTCGCCCGCCCTTCTCTTCTCCCCCTTCGGGCGCGCTTGCGATCGCCGCCGCGGCCGCCACGAAAGCGGCCGGCGCCGCGACGCGCACCGCAGCGGCTCCGGGAGCGACGAGAGCCGGGCGAAAGGCGCGAACGCCTGGCTCGCGCACGGGTCGCCGGGCAGCACGCTGAGAACCGCGAGGGTGGGCGCCTTCAGCAGCGGCCGCACCAGCAACCCGTACAGCGCGCTCGCGCCGTCCGGCACGCGTACGGCAGTGAGGCTGCCGAGGAGAAGGTCGTATCGTACACCGACAAAAGGCTCGATTGCCTTCAGGGTGGGGAACAACTCCTGGAAGGTCTTCGTAAGAATGACTACGAGGTATTAGCCCCGAGCAAAAGGACATCGAGCCAGAAAAAACCGGGTCAACCGGGATTCTAGACGAGCGCAAAGCAACTACTCGCAAATGGCCTGGATCGGCCGTGCGGGATCTACGATACACTACCTATACGACCGCCCTGCGGGCGATAAGGAGGTTGGGGGATTGAGATCAAATGCTCACCCTGACTGACTAACCTCATGGATTGGATTGGCCCGCCGCAGGCGCAGAAACAAATGAATTGATGGATTGGGTTGGGTGGGTTGGATTGGGTGGAATAAGATAAGATGGAACAATATGGGTTGGATAAGATAAGATGTATTGGATTGGACAAGATGGATTGGATACTATAAGCTGGATTGGATAAGAAAGCCCGCCGCAGGCGCCGAAAAAAAATGAATTATGAAACTAGCGACATGCATTAGCGCCGGGACGCCCGGGACACCCGGGACACCGCCCGGCCCAACTGGGACACCTCCCGGTCACCGGCGGACGGGAAACGGACTTTCGCTCCTACTGACACCCAAAACACCCGGGACACCGCCCGGCCCAACTGGGACACCTCCCGGCCACCGACGGACGGGAAACGGACTTTCGCTCCTACTTCGGCCTAGCTACAGGAGGATCACGCGCAGCTTCGCCTCGCCCGCACGCACGACACGAACATGAAACCGAAACCGATTTCCCGGTGGGGGGTCTCCGTTTCACTGCGATCTCACCCCCCAACCTCCGACATAGAAGAAGATAAGTTATTTTCGGACGTGGCACTCTGCGAGTAGTGGAACGCGCTCGGTGAGATAAAGCGGAGCTGGACTGGATTGAGCGGCACTATGCCAGAATAGGCCTGTTCTCGACCACGGATATATAAGCGCCGATGCTAAATATAACGTCCCTGGAGTTGCATCCGAACCTTCAGAGTCGGAAACAAGGCCGCGGCGGCTCCGACGGCCCCCGCGGTGGACAGCGAGCCGAGGTCGGCGATGACGGCCACACGGTAGCGGCGGCCTTCATGCTGCGGCCGCTGCCAGCCCACCTCTGGAAGAAGAGAAATGTTTCAAACGTACACCCATCGTGGAACTGTACTGAACGCCGAAAACGAAACGAAGGGGCTTTTCTGGACCCCGCGAGCCTCGGCTACGAACAGATCCCCGACCTGAACATGAAGAACGGTCCGAAAACCAGAGCCTTTTCTGAACCCAAAGTGGTCCTTAATTCAGCGTCTTGACTGTAACCTTTCGGAGCTCTGCGCTGATTTCTTGGATCGGCGAGGCCACCCCACTCCTCCGTCCCTGGCGCGCGGAGCGCGCCAGGGGCGGCGCCGGAGGCGCCGCCAGGGACGCCAATCCAGAACATCTGCGCGGACCCCCCACAATTTTCTGGGTCACTTAACTTCGCACCTCGCACCCCGCGATGTGCAACGCCCTTGTTCTCTTCGCGCCCTCCCGCCGCCCCCGTGGGGAAGGGCGGATGGTCTGATCCGGAATCCAGACCTCAAAACACGAACCGCAGTCATCTTCGCGCTCCTGGGGGTCACCTTCTGCCCACCACCTGCAGAGGAGGGAAGAGGGAAACCGTTCGAATATTTGAACAGGAAGGCGCCTGAAATAGATTGGAGTCTGGGGCTCAAACAAAAAGACATACCTTCGGCAAACGATGGGTCTGCAATTGCTCCTTCTTCGAGCCTCGCGCGCGGCGCTCTCCGCTGGGGTCGCCACGCGGGGTAAATCAAAAGGTACCGATACCGCTGCCCACCCCCCCCACCTCTCAGGTGGCCCAAAAAGGTGGAAACAAGACAGTGGTCGTGGTATGGATACCTTGTCTTCCTCGGACACACAACGCGACCCTGCCATGAGCTGTTCGTTATTGTTCGTTCCTCTCCGAGCCTCGCGCGCGGCGCCCTCCAGCACGCACAACGCGCGCTGTCCCAGCGCGCCCGCGGCGAGGTCCCGCCCGCGCTCCCGCAGGAAGCCGCGCGGCGGCAGCCACCAGTAGAGCACGGCCCTGCCGAACTCGTCCTCGCCCGCGTGCCGCAGCACCTCTCTGCTGGGGGAGCGGCGAGAACCGAGTACGTTGGGGGACTGGCCCAAGGAGGAAATAATCGACCTGGAATCCGCGATCCCCTATATCGGCGATGTGTAGGCGAGCGGGGGTCGATGCGCTCCTCCCTGAACCTATCACCCCTGATCCCTTATCGGTATCTTTGAGCACGGGTGCGGCGGGTTCGTGTCGTCACGACCTGAGCGTTGAAATCTGACACCGCGTGGATCGTTCAAACTTGAACGATCGACGGCGTTTCGACCGCCAGCTCGTTCAATGTTGTCCGATTCTAAACCACTGGCGGTGTTCAACCTTGAACGCCCCCAACGGCATCGCCGCCGCGTCGACACGACACGAACGCGTCGTGGATAGATTGCGCTTTTTGAGTCCACGGTTCCTCGCTCAACACGACGGATTCGGGCCCCGAGCTTCCAAAGCGGCCCATGCAGGCAACCACGGGCACCAAGGCCACCCAACATACCTCGAAGACGGGCCACGATAGCCCCAAGGCTGCCGAATATGGCCTCCAGACGGCCAAGAATGCCTTCAAGAGGGCCCAAAAAGGCCACACGAGGACCTCCAACAACGTCCTTAAAACAACACTCCGTATTCAACTTTCGGGTGTTTGAATGATTTTCGCATTCGTGCCTCTCGGGCTTCCGTCAGCTCAAGATGGCACAAAAAGGACCGTCACGAGGGCCCAACGATGGCCCAGAAGGGCCCTACGAGGCCTACGTAGGCATCCAACACGGCCCCAACGCGGCCCAAGAGGGCCTCCCGTGGGACCCAAGACTGCCTTAGAAGGCCCTTCGAGTTCCTGAGGCGGCGCCAAGCGGCCCCACGACGCCCGCCAAACACCCAGCATAAGACCTCGAAGGCCCCAAGGCGGTCAAAAAGAGCCTCATGACGGCCTAAGCCGTGTCGAACAATACGGTGGCTCTTTTGTTCTAGATGGAACCTAGCCCGAGAATGGCAGGTATACATCGAAATGCGACGTCCGCCGTGTCCGTGTTCTCCTGGGTCCTTGGCTATCGCTTTGTAAGTGCAAGCGATAGGGAATTCCTCTTCGGAATCGCACGGGGCGGATCCCTCGCCCGCGCCATTCACGTTTAACCTCGGCCTACTGTCGAAATTGCTGGGTCTGCCGTTCTCTAAACATCTTTTCAACTGCTGGGAATTGGCTACGGTGTTCTGGCCAATCAGGTTCATCTGCAAGCCTGGGTCAGATCGCGTGCTATCGCGCCCTAGTGCAGCATTGTCCTCGTAAATTGTTAGATCTGCCGGACTGCGTTTGACACGTTGCCGTGCTCTCTAGGGTAGAGGATGAACTGCCTCATGGTCAGGCGGTTCGGCGCGGCCTCCCCACTCTACATGTGCGCGTTGACCTCATCGATCGTGGGTTCCAGTGAATCGTCAGACCACTGTCCAAACATGCCAACCTGTTGGATCACGAACGCCGTCATTAACACTATCGACCATGATCTCTGAGCCCGTCGGGCTGCTGCATCCCTCTAGGCTATCCGCCCGTGACCTTCTTGTTAGGGACCTACCGATCGATGCGGATCGCCTGGCCGATTCTGCGCGCTCTGTTCCTCCAATCGTGCGAATAATCGTGATCTTGCAGGGTCTCGCGGTAAAGGCGGCCCAGGCACCGCGAGGGAGCCCGGGCCATCGTCTTGCATCTGATCGACGTGCTCATTTGCGCGCGACCGCGCTTGTAGGGATATTGCGATCTCCACGCGCTCGGCCGCGCTCTCGCGCGCGTCGCCGCGCTGCTCTGTCAGCCCAGATAAGGCTGCGACCTCCTTGCGGAGGGTCCGCAGCTCACGCGCGGTGTTAGGAGCGTTGTGGGTGAACGCGATTGGATCGTCGCCCTGGCCCGCGTGTCCGAATGTGACTGCAATCGGCCCCGGACCCCGGCGCATCGCGCACTTGGGCCCACAGGGGGCTCCTGCGCGCCGGTTGCCCACTTGGCGCCTCGCGCAGGTGCCTCGGCAGCCCTCGTGAAACTGGCGCCAGCATGGAAGACGAATCATGAATGGTAATGTTGGAGGCCTGGAAATGGGCACCAACACCAAGACAGGGGGCTGCCTCCACAGGGGGAGATGATCCTACATGTCGGTGTTGGTGGTAATATTTCGGTCACCTTGGAAGCCAGAATGTCACCGCCATCACCGAGATCGGGATCTTCTTCCGTCGGTGGAAGAACACCGCCGATATTGGTGCTGGTGTCAACCTCTAGGCCTGCGATAATGTGAGGAAACACCCAACCTCAAGAGTAAAATCTCGATCAAGAGGCTAGCCAGACCCTGAGTCTCGCCCCCCAGGCGTGAAGTTCTCGCGCACGACGCCCAGCCCCAACCGACGGGCCCCAACAAGCGCGCGGGCGAACTGCAAAGACAGGCGAGGGAACACAATCCACTCAAACACGCTTGCTGGTGACTCTGGGCGCGCTGGCCAACAAAAGAAACTCAAAATGAAACTCAACCGCGATCCAGCTCCCCCCTCCTCTCCGCGAAATGGGGGCACCCCTGGAGCAGGTGGCGGGCGCTAGGTGACTGACAGCTGCACCACTTGCAACATTTGTCGTTCCGAAGACGCGCGTCTGCTTGGCAGGCACCTCCCCCGAAGATAAACGGCATCAACCTCTCCTCCAAGGACAGCGCCTTCTCGAACTTACGACGACCTGCGGAGCTACCCAACTCAACGTCCACATTAACAATTCCCTCCAGATCGAGACGGTTTCGATGCACAGCCTGGAGACAACGAGCGCGAGCGACAGCACGAACGGCGTGGGCTCCTCCAGGAACCTCGGTCCAGAACGTGCCCCCCCTGTCCCCGAACTTGTTCGGCAACTCGATGTAATCTAAGGTCGCCGCCATCAAAAGCTCGAGTACGAGCGCCCCACTCAGCCTTGTGCTCTGGGTGCGCGATGCCTATCATGTCAAAGTGGACCTATAGCGCCCTGCTTAAGAACTCGTTCGGGGCGGGCTTTTCGGACATCGCCGTCTTCGTACTTTGTAGACGCGGAGGGAACCTTGGATGGCGTTGCGCGCGTTGGACCCACCATCTCCAAACACGCCGCCGCTTTCTCCCCGTCCCAAGAATACCTTGACAGAACGCTCCTGCGGCCCATCGAGGTACTGGTCCCACGAGCAGGAGTAGGCCATAACCAGACGGGGCCTAACACAGGCCGAGGCAAACCGTTTCCGAACAGCGGCAACCCCAGGGATGCTGTGTACTTTGCGCGTGAAGCTTCTGCCTTGGCCCTTTCCCATTCACGATGCCGATCGGGTTGGTCGCGAAGTTCCTGGGCCCGCTTCCGCGCCCTCGCGCGTTTCTACTGTTGCAGCTGGCTTGCTCTCTGGATTATAATCCCAACTCTTTGAATCTGCTTGGCGGTGAAACTCACGGGCCTCCACGACGGCGGAGATGCCCAGACGCCCTCAACGCGCTAGTCGTTGCGCATGCGCGTCTCTTTTGTGCCAGCGCTGCCAGCCACTTGCTATAAGTCATGGTTGCAGAACGCCTCGCGGAACTTCTCGCTCCTGGACCCCCCCCACACTTCTCGGAGTTCTGCTTGGCCCTCAGGCGCGCCCGACCTCGAGGACCAGCTTCGCGTCGAATTGCGGCTGACTTGGCCCAGTGCTTGCTCCGAGTCCTAGGGGGTGGTTCGCCGCTGCAGGCGATCCAATGCTTTCTGGCTGCGGTCGTCCCTCTCGGAGCCGCCAGGCCCATGGGCGGAGTCTGCCCGCGCGAGCATCAGAGATGATCGCCCGGTTCTCGAAGCGCTGGGTCCTGCACCTCCCCCTCCACTGGCCCTGATGCCCCCAAGAATTCTCGCCTTTTTCGCTGCCTTCCTCGATGCAAAGCGGCGCGCGCTCGGGGGCCCACGAAGCCGACGAGCGCGTCGGACAGCGGCGGCGCCTCCCGCCGCGGAACGCGCGTTCCCGGTGCCGGCGCCAAAACCAACTGGGCACGGTGGCATGGCCCCTCTCCACTTGACAAGAGTGGGCCCATCAAAAGAATGCTTGAAGACAAGTCTCTCATAGTGATGCCCCCTCAACACCAGCCGGATCTCCCGCTGGAAGTTCTTCGCCTCCGCAAGGGGGGGGGGGCCGCGGGCCGCCCGTCTGCCCTCCGCCGACTTGACCCAAATCGCGATCTCCGCTTTCGCGGCGCAGGCGGCGGCTCGCACCCCGAGGCTCGAGACAGGTCTGCCTGGCGGCCGTCTGCGACGCGATGCCCGCCCCATTGCCGATGCCGACCTCGCTCGGTTGTTTGGCGAACTCCCTCGACGCAAGCAATCTCAACACAGCTCGAGTACAGTCTCCAACTGCCAAGTCATCCTCTGTCCGCTGCTCGGCATTCGGCCTGAGCTCGTGCAGGGCACCCCCCGCGGCGATGCAGAAGTCTGCCTGGAAGCGTACCGGGCAAAAGAGTCGACGGTCTCGGTCTTCGCCGTCTTCTTAGCTTGGGGCAAGGGCCCCCTTGGGGTCTTGCCGGTTGCGGCTGCCCCTCGGGTCTGATCATTATCCTCAGCCTGCTTCTTGCTGCCCTCCCCCATGGCAGCAATCTCCGGGGCGACGTCCTCCAGCGCGTCATCATCTGGAGGATCCGCACCATCATGGCGAGGTCGTGGGAGCAAGGTTCCCCGAGCTGACTTAGGTCTGGCTGCCCCCCCTGCTTCTCGGGCCAGCAGGGCGCGGCCGCCGTCGAGGCCGGGGGGCCCGACTTGAACTCGAAACCGCTCTGCTCACAGGCCCCTCCAAAGCCCCCTCAGACCAACAAAAAAACGCCCGCGGACACCTGCGCGGAAGATGGTCTGGACATTATGGAAGCCGCTTCGCTCCTGCCCACACTTCAAGACCATCTGGGCGCCGACTCAATCAAGGGCGCGGGTCACCTCCCAACGCAGAGTCAGTCTGGGATGGCCCTGCACTGTGGCTTGATCTGAAATCGCTCCCAGCGGGGCATCAACTGATGGGCGGAATGCGAGGCGACGG